CATCTGCTTCCATTACTCCCTTTCAGGGAATCAGGAGAGAGTGGCTCAGGATCTGTGTAGGGACTTTCCACCTTGCTGAGCATGTTGGAATGACTAGATAGTCTCTAGTTTCTATGACCAATCTAGCAAGCACCAGCTCCATGTGGCTCCTGAGAAGCTGGAACTCAGGCTGTCTAGCTTAGTCTGAGTTGCTTAGCTAAGATGGGCAGGGCAGGGGTGAAGCTGGGGGCTGAGCTCTGAGAGATGCAGCCTGGCCTCACAGCCTCCACCCAAGCTGCTGGATCCAGCCAGCTGGGTGCTTTGGTGGCAGTATATTCTTTGATGAACACAGTGAAGCACATTTGCTATGTGAGGGTGGGAAACACATTTGCTTTCCTCACTGCTCTCACAGAAGCAGACACAGGGCACAAGGGTCACCACAAATATGGTTGAATGATTATGGAACAGAGTCCCCAAGGGCCATCACACCAATAAGATGTGGCCTCTAGCATGGCTGGACACATCTCAACAATAGAATACATTCATCCTGGCACCTTGTGCCCTCAGTTGTTAAGCCCTCTGATCAGAGCCTAGCTAATCAAAGAACACTTCCTCAAATGTTCATCAGTGCCCAGAACTCCCCCAGGGCTTCATTTCTGGTAGGTTTTCTGGGAAAGCCTGAGCCATAGTTGGGCTACTAGTATCTTGAATGCCACAGGGAAGTGCCATACAGATGGCTTCAGGACCCGTGTCAGGACTTAGGTCTGCATACAAACTGAGATGGTACCTTTGGACAGCAATGGGAACATTTATATTCCTCATCTGATAGGGAAGCCAGCAGCCATACATGGCTACTAAGTACTTGCAACACGTTCAGTGCAACCAAAGATGGGGACTTGTAATTTTACTTTAATTAAATTGCCACTTGTGGCTAATAACTGGCACATCAGTGTTGGTTTAGAAAGTGTCTCAAGACTGTGGCTCATGAAAGAATTCATTTGAAGGAATGGTTGTCCATTTCCTGGGAGAACCAAGAACAGTGGGTTCTATATCCCTTTGGCACACTTCAAACTTAGATGGCTCAGTGCTTAGGAGCACTTACTGCTCTTTCAGGGGACCCAGTTTTGTTCCCAGCACCCACATGTGGTTTGCAACTGTCTGTAACTATAGTTTTGGGGGATCTGATGTCCCTTCTGATCTCTACAGGCTCCTGCATGTACATGGTATGCACTCACATGATGCACATATATACACTCAGGCACACACACATACACATAAAATAAAATAAATAAATATTTAAAAAGAAAAAGCAAAGTTTGAGGTAAATGACATTATCTCTCATTTAGACACCTTTGGTTTGGGCACAAGTCTCTGGAAATGTTTTGGGCTCCAAGAGAGTCTACTTCCTAGCCTCAAGAAGTCTGCCTGAACCATGTAGCTCTAGTTCAGTTTTGCCATCTACTCAGCCATGTGACCTTGGACTTGTTCCCCTCCCAACCTTGGCACAGTCTCAGATGCCCAAATTCCTCTACATTTGAGAACCTCCTTCTCTCTGTTCTGGTGATGTGTGTCTCAGACCTTTCTCCCCAGGCTTCTCCCAGGCCTGCTGCCAGCACTGTCCACCCAACAGAAGGTACCCCAGCAGGGGAGGACTATCCAGCTGGGCACTGTTGGCCTGGCTTACATTGGCCCAATCAGGCCAGGGAGGAGGGCTACAGTGAGGAGCTGGGAAATGACAGGGGACAAGGAGGAACCATCTGTACATTGCAGGTCTTCATTTCCCATGGCCAGCCTGGGGTACAGCTAGGGCTCACTCTGAAGTCAGAGATGGCACTGAAGGATCTTCAGGGGGGCTTTGGTGCCACAGTCCAGGTCTCCATTCATTATCTGCTCTTCTTCATGGGTGTCCCTGAAGCCATCACATAGATAATTTATTGAAAGTAAATCATTCTCCATGTGCTTTGGATAGGTAGAAATCACCTTTTATCCTTTTTTTCTCAGTGGGGACATGGGTGGGGACACCAATATCTCAGCTTCTGAGCTGCAGAATGTTCATAAGAATCTTTAGCTCTACCCCAGAAGTGTTCCCCAGACAGTCAGCTCAAATACTCAGTGCTCTCCTCAGTAAAGTTCAACACATACTTCTAGAGACAATGGAAGAAACTTTTGGAGACATCATAACAGGTGGTTTTGCCATCCTCTGGCTGTGTGACCTTGAGCAAGTTACCTAACTTCTCTGGGCCTCAGTCTGATAAATTGTCAACTATAGATAACAGCACTTGCTTTATTCAGTTATTATTTCAATGAAGGGCAGGACAAAGGATGTCTGTGGAGTACTCGGGACAGTATCTGGCACAAGGTGACTCCCATTGTTAGTGTTATCATTATTGCTATTTGATTTGCTAGTAACCTAGGATGGAGACAGTAACCATTTCTGAATCACAGGCTCCACCAGTATAAAATCAGAAGGGTTATATACAGTACACCAACTTGCTCTGAGAGGTGGAAGGGATCAGGGCAAATGGCTGGAGGAAGCTGGACCTGGCTGCATTAGCTCCAAGAATCCAGCTAAGTTCATTTCATAGCAGCCATGCTCAGAGGGGCTTTGCTAGCTCATTAAAGCCCCCTTTGGATACCTCTCTGGCTGGCTGGGCCAGATTGGAATACTGTGCAGTGATTCACAGACTGACCTCTCCTGCTCACTGACTAGTTTCATTCACTGGCTAACTTTTCAGCTCTTCTGCTCTCTCGAATGTTTCAACCTAGCATCTCCAGCTGGGAATCCTGAAATGTCAGTGCAGGACCTGCAAGGTGCATCCTGCTCCTCAGATTTAGATAAGGAAAGGGACTCAGCCAAGGTCACAGAAAACATCAGGCATAAAGCTGGCACCATACCCTAGAGCTCCTGTCATTAGGGACAAAGATAGGTGTCTGCCATAGGCTGTTGGTGCCCCTGGTTGCCCCCAGGGGTTCATAGTGGCATTCCCTCTGCTGAGGCTGGCATTCTTCCAGCATACTCCCAGCCTTGGGGGCTCCCTTCCCTGAGGACTGGCTTTCCTTCTGGCTTTGTGCAGAACCCTCTCCCACAACCGCCCTGCTCCCATCTGCCTGCCTCACCTCCTCTGTGCCAGAGCATGGCTGCCCTCCCCTCAAACCACCTGGCAGGGCTGGGATTGGACCAGATGGAGCTGATCAAGACTGCCTGTGCCCTTGGCCCTCTCCCGCCTCAAGGCTAGTGGCAGGCAATCGATGCCCCAGGACCACAAGTGCCCAGTTCCTTCTGACTGACAAGCTAGCTGTTCTGGTGAAGACTTGAGGGGTCAGCTTCACCCTTGGCTCCTCTGCTCGGCCTAATCTGGGCCCCAATAGAACTTGGCAGACTCTCAGACTACTCCTCCAGGCTCCCCTTTCCAAGCCAGGAAGCCTTATTTTCCTTGTCTATGAAGGGTGGTGGTGGTGGGTGTAAACACATCAGTTTATGAATATGGTTGATGGAAGGCTCCACCAGGGGGTCCAGGAGCCTGCTTAGAACCATGTGTGGATGCAGGAGGAGCTCAGGAAGGGGGATGATATGGCATTATTCATACACACACGTCCCATAGATATACAGGAGCATCCCCAGTTATCTGCTCAAACAAAACAAAGGGACCTCCATCTATGCCCTCAGTGTACTGCCAAGTCTCTACCCTCCTGGAGCCTCAATGATCCTGTCTGTGAAATGGGGACAAAGGTCAAGACTTTGCATCTTGTTAGTGAGTCTGCAGATCCAGCAGAATCAAGGTCATGAATGTGCCACACAAAAACCAAGTGCCCACTTTGTCAAACCTGTGCCAGGCACCTGGGAAGTCATGGTGATTAGGAATCAAACCTTTTGCTTTAAATGGTCACACACTAGGAGGGGCAGAGATCCAGAGCCCAGAACTATGGGTGGTGGTGTATATGTAGGTGGCATCTGCCAGGCTGGTGCCTAACTCCTTGCAGAGAGCTAGGAGAGACTGGGGTGGGGACTTGATCATGGAGCACCCACTTTAGGTCAGAAACCCAAGGCCCATCTGTGAAAGAAGTAGTAGCCTTATTTGGGGTCTGGCCTTGGAGTGGCAAACATTCAGTGAGGAGTGGGAGATCCTGGCCCTGCCTACCTTGCAGCAGGAGAATGACAGAGGTGTGCCAGAGCTCCCAGTCTAGGAGTTCCTGCCTGTCTGTTCTGCCTAGGTGAGGCACCAGGACCCTGAGCCCTGACCCTGCCTTCTGCCTCTCCCCTGTTGGCTGAGTCACTAAGCCCCATAGTGGCTCACAGGGTAGGGAGAGCGGGTCATAGAGAGAGGAGCCGGTCTTCCTGGGCTCCAGAGATGTTGCCAGTGGCTCCACATCCCAGAATAGCAGAGCTGGAGCCTTCAGTCCCAAGAACACTGAGGCTCCCCATCACAGAAACCCTCTGGCCAAGGTCACACAGGTGAGGAAAGGAGCTGTTGGCAGAGATGAAGGACTTGTTCAAGTGTGGCTCTGCCACTTCACTTGCCCGTGGCACTGTCCATGCCAGCGGCAGGGTCAGCTGGGCAGCTATGTGGGCGTGCAGGGAACAGTGTAGGAACATGTGAGGGGGAGGATGACACAGAACGAGGAGGCGGGGGAGGGGTTGCCTTGAAGCCCTGGGAAGGTGTGTGCGCAGGGGCTAGACTCTTGGCCCAGGCCTGGCACCCCTGGCTATGCCTGCTTGGAGCCCCAGCCCACAGTCCCCAGCGGCCTTGTTCCCTAGACACAGATGCGCGTGCGCACGGGATGCGGGTTGCAAGGTGCGGGTGCGGGTGCGGGGTGCTCCCCACCAGCTCTGAGGCTCGGGGTGACACGCACCCCTGTTGCCGCAAGGACACGCAGGCCCGGCCCTTAGGGAGCAGGTGCCTTGGGCGGGATCCTGCGTACCCCCACCTGCCGCCGCGCCACCTGCTGGGCCGCCCTCTCGCCCCCGCCTGCTAGCGCGCCCACCCCTTCTGCTCCCGCCTGTGCGCCTGGGCACCACTTACCCCGGCATGGGCACAGCCGCCACCGCGGCCTCTGCTCTGGCTGTTGCTGTTGCTGCGGGAGGGCGCCCGGAGGGCAACGATCCGCTCCAAGGACGGAGAGGCCCGGGCACCGGGCGGCCTGACCAGCAGTGCGGAGCAGGACCCTCCGCGGCAGGCGAGGGCTGTGTCCCAGTGCTCCCCACGCTCCGCACCAGCGGCGGCGGGCGACGCTGCGCGCTCGACTCCAGCCGCAGCTCTAAGCGCGGAGGGAGGGAGGAAGGGGTGGGGGAGGGAGGGAGCCGGTGGTGGTGGCGGTGGCGGTGGCAGTGGCGGTGGTGGTGGTGGCAGCGGCGGCGGCGGCGGCGGCAGCGGAGGAGGAGGAGGAGGAGGAGGAGGAGGAGGAGGAGGAGGAGGAGGAGGAGGAAGAGGAGGAGGAGCGGATGGAGGGGCAGTGCACTGGTGAACAGGCTCTGGGGACAAGGTGCTCCTGAGCCTTGCGCCCGGTGTGCGCCCTTCTGTTCCCAGGATGCTAGGGAATGCCAGCACTTCCTAGCCTGGCATGGCCCTCCAAGGACACTGGCAGAATAGTGGTGGGCGTGGTTAGAGAGTGGGGCCTGAGAAGCTGCTGGTGCAGAAAGCCCCCTCATGTGACTGGGGCAGCAGGTTGTCATACCTCTCAAGACCCTCTCTACCCTTGGGGTTTGGAGCCGATTTGTAGCTTGGGGTCTCTGGGCTCTTGGTGGGCTCCTGTGGTTGGTGGTTGTCTGAAACTGCCTGGTAAGCGATGGGAGTGCAGGCATTCAAACACATTTTCCCAGAGGGAAGCTGGAGCTTATAACAGACTTTCACTCTGTGACCCCTAAAGGTTATCAAGTGAACACCATTTTCCAGGACAAAGTGGGCTATGCTGCACACAAGTGAACACCCACAGGCAGATACAGGGGATACCCTAGAGAAGACACCCACATGCACCCGCCAAAACACATGCACACCAATGAGGGCAGCCACCCTTGTGTGCCCTTGGACTTCCACAGGGGAGCTGCACTTGCTACTAGTCTTTGTAGCACTGAGCTTTCCAGCTGTTTGGACAGCAGAAACTGAGCCCAGATCCTACCTTGCTTTGGTCTGTGAACCGGGTTAGGGGCTGAGGAGAAGGCTATGGGCTAAACCTTGGGGTCACTTAACTTGTTGGAGCTCCTGGAGACAGAGAGGGAAAAGGCTGAACACACAGGGCATCAAGGGAGCCTATGCACCAGTCTGGGATGGGTGATGGGGATACAATGGTGTCTACTGAAAGGGAGTGGGTGGCAGACAGTGACTACTCAGATCGTTGGGATAAGGGATATGGGGGAACCATTAACTGGGGATGACATAAAATGGTTATGGAGTTCAGAGAAAGCAGTTTTTGGGGCGCTGCCACCGTGTAAAACACCTATCTGAAGTACAGGAAGGCACTGCTGTGGTCTCATGTTGGGCCAGAGAAGGTCACATCCCTATAGCCAGCCCCTCCTCTAGGAAGCAACTAGTTCTGTGGAGAAGCCCATGAGATCTGGTGTCCTAGAAAGTCAGGGCCAATACTTGCACTTCTCAGTACAGGCAGACTACTTGCACACTCACATACACACTCATACAGCTACCCCACATTCACACATGAGCACTCATACATTCACACTCACTTCACACCAGCATGCATACTCACACAGCCACTCCACACTCACCCAATATGAGCACTCATATTCACAACTACCCCAAACCCAATATTCACACTCACTTGCTTATCTACACTCACACCCAATATGCTCATTCATGTGCTTACTCACACACTCACCCAACATACACACTCACTCATTCACACTCACTCACATTTGCCAAAATGCACACTCATGTGCTCATCCCAACCCACATTCACCAACATGCACATTCATGTGCTTACTACAACCTACACTCACCCAATATGTATACCTAGGTGCTTGCTCCCACCCCACAGTCACCCAACATATACACTCACTCATTCACACCTACGCACATTCACTCAACATACACACTCATTTATAGCCACCCAACATGTACACTAATATACTCATGCCCATCCCACATTCAGTCAATTGCATACTCTCATATTAATTCCACCCACATTCACCAACATGCACACTCATGTGCTCACCCTCAGTCCACACTCACCTGACATGTACATTCAAGTGCTCACCCACACTACAATCACCCAACATGAATATTTGTAAGCTCACTCCACTCCACATTCATCCAACACATATTTTCACATGTTCACCCCCACACCCTCATGCTCATCCAACTCACACACATGCTCACTCACACCCCATACTCTCACACTCATTAAGCACCACTCACATATTCACCCACACCTACCTACATTCTTATACACATGCATCACATATTCTCACTCACACTCACAGAAGGTCACTTACACATATTCTCTTACACTTGTATAAGCTAGCCTGCATACATTCATTCACACATGCTTATTGATTCACAAAGTCACATACTGTCATCTCTCTCTCTCTCTCTCTCTCTCTCTCTCTCTCTCTCTCTCTCTCTCTC